CGCCTGTCGCGCCTGCCACACTGCCCCACGCCCCTATAAGCGACGGCCAATCCCGGCAGCGCTGGTAAGCGCCTTGTTCTTGCCGCCTGCGTTCCCACCGTCGCCGTCCCTTGCTCTGCAAGCCAGCATGAGGCAGGAACTCCCGTGTCCTGTCCCTTGTATGCGTCGAATATGACCAGCAATGGAGATCCGGTCCTGAACCCATCCTCGCTCCCCACCCTCGAGCCCACCACGGCCAGCACCACCGCCGCTGCCACTCCCCACAGCCCACGGCCAGCGCCCCCGACTCGAACAGCTACCCCTCCGCCCACAACAACAAAGGACACGCCCCACCCACCGCTGCCCAACGGCCTCGAGGGCAACGATGAAGACGCAGAGGGCGAGTCCGAGGCCGAGACGGTCGTGCTGTCGCGAGACGAGCGGTCGCCCGAGAAGAAGGTGATCAAGACGGAGCGCATCGACGACGACGACGCATCGCGCCTCGGCGCCATCAAAGAAGAGTCGCGCGCTCTTTCACCCTCGCGCAATGGCCAGCGCCGCTCCAGCACCAGCACCAGCACCGATGCTGCAAAGACAAACGGCGCCAATCCCACCTCGCCGCGCAGCCGCACTGCGTCGCGACACACCAAGGACACCAGTCCCACCGAGTCAGCCAGATCGCCTGTCCGGTCGGCTCTTTCTCCCACGCAGACGGTCACGCGCGGCCGCAGTGCATCCACTGTCGAGAACCGCAAGCGCAAACTGCGAGACGAATCCTATCCCAAGTCCATTGAGCCAGCGCGACAAAAGGCCAAGACAGAGCTTCTGAAAGATCCGCGCCTGCCCAATTCCCCTGCCACCCCTGGCTTTGGCCGTGCACACAAACGCTCGCAGTCCACACAGTCCACCGTGACTGGTTTTACGGGCCGTAAGCGACGAGACGTCACAGCCCTGGCAGTGTCTACCACCGAACCCGAGCGTTGGTCTGGCTCGAGCTCGGAGCACTCCATGTCACCGCAGGCCGCTGTCGCACCACATCTCCAGCAGGCGCGTGTGAAACGCTCCACGCATCGTGCCGTGACCTCGCCCGCGCGCACCATGGCCCACCGCAAGACTGATCGATTCGGCGCGACGCGACTTGCTCGAGAAAGTGAAAAGGGCGACTTGGAGGCGGTCAAGGAAGCGTTTGAAGAAGCTGCCGATGAGCTGAACCAGGCCGACTACGCGGGAATCGTCCCGCTGCAGAAGGCATCGCTGAATGGATGGGCCGAGGTAGTCGAGTTCCTCATCAGTAAAGGATGTCGTACGGATTGCGAGAGCCACGATCGTGATACACCACTCATCGATGCTGTGGAAAACTCACACCTGGAAGTTGTCAAACTACTGCTTAACCAAGGGCATGTCAATCCACACCACCAGAACAAGAAAGGACAGCGCGCGATTGACGTACTGGATCGCGAAGACGATGACGCCGAAGAAATTGAGAGGGTGCTGCGCGAAGCAATGAAGAAGCAGGTCGATTCTTCCAGCACCAAGGACCACGAGCGTTCGCAGAAGCAATCGAAATCCGCGTCCCGGCTGCTTTACAACGAGTTCAACGTGGAAACGTTGATTGAAAAAGCAGGCGATGGCGATATTTTGGCTGTCGGAGAGCTGCTCAACAGCAACATCAAACCAAACATTACCTGCGGCGTTGCTGCAGCGAGAGGCGGACACTACGACATACTCAGTATCCTACTGGCCAGTGGTCTCAAGGCAGACCCAGATCCGTCGAAGCACCCGGAGACGCCAATGACGGCAGCCATCGGCCGCGGACACATCGAGATCATCAAGCTACTTCTGGAGCAGGACAGCTTCGATCCCACGCGGCGAAACAAAGAGGGCAAGACGTACTACGAGATTTCTGAAGAGCGAACAGGTCCAAAATGGGAGCATGAACGAGATATTTTGAAGCGCGCGTACGATGAGCATAGAGGTCTGCACCGAAGTCCGCGACGAGTCAAGAAGGAAGCACCCAACCCAGTGCGCATGAAGAGAAAGTCTTCGCCCCGAAGAGAACGCTCATCCTCACCTCGGCCTGAACCGAAACGCGCGCATCTGACAAAATCAGCAACTGCACCTGGCCCACCACAGAAACCGCGGCGGCTGATGTCTGGGAAAGAGAAGGCGAACCGCGAAGGCCAAAGGAAGAAGCGCGTGGTGGATGAGGACACGTCAGAAGAAGAGAGCGAGGAAGATGTGCGGCCGCCGACACGAAAAGTCAATCCACGGTCATATAGCGAGGGCGAGGAAGCGAAACCGGCCAGGAAAGCGCTCAAAGTTCGCTCCGATGATAATGAGACGAAACGCATGGACCGTGTTCGCTCTGATGAAAGTGACGAGGACCGTGGTACTAAACAAGCAGCTAAGATTCGCACAAAGCCCGTTAAACCGCATAGCGCCAAGCCCACTCCTGAGATCGATTCTCCCGACGAACGCAAACTTGTCAAGACGAAAATCAAGTACAAAACTATGGAGGACAAGGTACGGAAGCGCAAGCTTTCAGACGCATCGACCGATAATGCTAGCCTCAAGAAGACGCCTACTGCTTCAGCCAAATCCACGCCTGCTCCACCAGAGCGGACAGCGACGCCAGAAGTAGAACGCGTCAGGCGACTGGAAGACCAGCGACTTCAAGCTGAAGCGAAGCGCAAAGCTGCCGAAGTAGCTGCTGAAGCTGAAGCACGCAAGCAGGAGGAAGAAGAAGCTGCACGCAAGGCCGCAGAGGAGGAAGCCAGGAAGAACGCTGAAGCCGCGGCGGAAGCGAAACGGCAAGCAGAAGAAGCAGAAGCAGAAGCAAAGCGCAAACGCGAAGCCGATGAGGCCAAGCGCAAAGCCGAGGAAGAACTGCAACGGCAGCAACAACTTGCCGCTCGATGGGATCGTGTCTCGAGGCTTCCCAAAGCATTACGGCGAGCCTGCGAACTCGGCAACGACAGACCGCTCCACTTCTCCGGAGAAGAACTCGGCGTCTCCGCAGTCTTCCTCCCCCTCTTCTACGCAACCGCGCACGACCTACACGACTCTCGCGCCCTCCCCGACAAGACCTACATCTGCTCCTTCCAGCTCGTCGGCATCCTCGGCCTCCCAGAACTCGATCTCGCAAACCTCGAATCGCCGTACTGCGACTGGTCCCGCATTCCCGTCACCCGCAAGCAGCGCGACTCCCTCCTGCGCCAATACGACGTCGCACTCCTTGCCCAAGACTTCCGCTTCCCCATGGAAGGCACACCCGACTTTGACTACGCCAAGATCCAGGACAGCATCAAAGAAGCCAAGCAGCAGTTCTCCGCCATGGAGGGGCTGTACTGGATTGAAGAATCGCTGCTGTACCCCGAGGCAGAGAAGGTTGAAGCACTTCGGCCGTTGCTAGAGGACATGCGGCACGAGTGTAAACGGAGACGGATATACCTGGCCGACGGCATAGAGGGCAAGATTGAGAAACCTCAGAAGCCGAGGAAGAGTTTCATGGACATTGTACTTGCGCAGAATGGGGGCGCGAATGGGAATAAGAATAGCATGGCTGTGCAGCCTGCGGCCGCTACGGTGAATGGAGATGGATGAAGAGGCGTTGCGGAGCTCATGTTTGTTTATTGAATCGGATTGTAATGGACACATGGATGTATAGCAACTTGTGCTGCGTACGGTCGGTGGATTGACGCCACGCCACGCCGTGCCTGGGACAGACGTGGATGTACGAGGGCACTAGTGAGGAATGGGTATGATGATGTATGTACGCAACGCATGTAGCGTACTGGGCAAACGCGTAGTTATGTTGCAAAGACGCAAAGAGGCAAAGCCCCCAGTCTCAGCCAGCCCCCAAGGGTGCATGCAAGTCCAATCACCAAGTGCAAACTGCTACTATCTCATCACGTTATGAATGTGCACGCTTTGTCAGTTGGAAGAGTTAATACAGCTCGCTCCGCGCTTAATTAATCCTCATGTGGCGATGTGCCGCTTTTGCTATATACACTATATCTTACTTGTCTACTACTCTACTATTAGCAGATGCTTAGAATAAGCGGCTTATATGGTACTTGGAAGGTGCATTCGGTACCGCTCTCAAGCCCAGTGTGTGTTCTGGATTAGATGTGCTGTGTCTACTATTTGTTGCTGTATATTCATGCATTGTTGAAGATATACCAATGACATGGTAGGGAGGTGTTTTGTCTAAAGAAGGGAGTGTGTAGTGCGCGTTTAGTTACACAGGACATGTACCTACTTGGATATAAGTGTTCTGTAAATGTATCTACTGTATGCATAATGGAACACGTGCGCATTGTATAATTCGGCACATAAAGCGCACATGTTTGCGCTGGGAAGGGATGGAAAGGAGGTAGGTGACTCAAATTGCATATACGCAAACATCTTGATATACATGGTGTGGTATATACAGTCTCACTACATAATGCATCTTCGTCCCAAGCTAAACCCCTTCTCAAAGGTAGCTTCGCCTTTCTTACGCTGTGCTCTGCGTACATTCTTCTTGTTTAACGCTTTGGAGATTGCATGTCTGGTTTGGGACGACAGTTAACATGTCGGGCTTGAGGTGTTGCGTGGCCTGCTTATGCATGACATGACTGTGTTGAGATCATTGGTGAACGGCGTCTGAAGGAGGTGGATTGCTCGAGGGAAATCTTCTCGATTTAGTATACCTGGTGCATAGAACAGCTAATTAGGTATGCTGTAGACAAATCTCGTAGACCGCTGGGGTGTAGCTTGAATCTAGGTATGTTTTGGATGGTTTGTTTAAAGATATCAAAGCCAGCTTTGTTATAATTAATAGTTTTCACAGTGTAGGCTTGTACAAGAGGTAAGTAAGTTGTGTGTAGTTTTGTGCATTGGTGTTTGTTAAAAGAAATCATCTTCTGCTAGTAGGCAGGCGTCTAGTGTTTTACTCATTGTATCTTGAGACTCGCAAAAAAGACAAAAAGATAGTGATGACCTAACCAGGGGTCGCTGAAAGTACTGTTAGCGGGATTCGACCGCCAGCAGGGTGAGTTTAACTTACAACCTGGAATCTCTTGATGCCAATTTGTGAATCGTAGTCAAGCGCCTTGCCATTGGGCCATTAGGCCAGTGAGTTATTGTGTTGTTGTGGGAGAATTGGTGATAATGGAAAATATAATGTGCAAATTTCACTTCAAAGCTTTGCTAGCGCCGCGGGGTACGACGACAACGACAGCCTGCCCCTCCAAACCAACCTCAGGATCCCCTCTCGAAACACCCAGGCCAGGCAGCAAGAGTAGCACAGCCTGCATGATGTTTGATATTGCGCGATACTTTGACCAGTCTTGCATGCCACGTCACAGCCACTATTGTGATGCTCCAACCTGACTTAACGGCGGTTATTCATTCTGTGTAAAGCCCCATGTGCATTCCCCTCAAGACTCCATCATCTGCTTCGACAAAAGCATCCACCATGGAGAGCGAGACGGCAGCTCCACGCACTTTTGCGCCAGTCCTGGCGCAGTACTCTGGCAGCAACTTCATCGTCGGCGGAGGCGTGGCTATTTTCCACATCGCGACAGGCAGAGTGGTACTATGTCGTGCACAAGATCGCGGCTCAACGTATCACTTTCTCCCCAAGGGGCGTCGAGACGCGGGCGAAGAGAGCGGACCAGGCGCAGAGCGGGAAGGCTACGAAGAAGTATACCATGTATGTTCCAAAGAGCTCTGCGGCGGCTGACAACCACCCAGTCAGGATACCGCAACCGGCTTCTTCCTCTGCCTACCGCGCATCGCCAACCCCAAGCCCACCCACGGGTTCACGCCTCGCCGTTGACGGCAGATCCAGTGTGGATGCAACTCATGCCCTTGCGCGCCTATCAGTATATCCTCTACTGGTACATTGCTGAGACGCTTCCTCCTTCTCTAGAAGCAGAGCTCGAAACGGAGCCCGGTGCGCCGTATAAACCTCCACCGCCATATCCTCGCGGCTTGTCGCTGAGAGAGAGGATCAGAATGGAGCCTGAGGGATACGAGCCGCTACATCATGAGGGTACGGGTGTTGACGAGGAAGAACGGGCATATCAGAGTGAGCTGGTCACTGTCGAGGAAGCAGTGAGGAGATTAGGGAAGGGGAGTGTGTCTGCGGACGTAGTCTTGAGGGGTTGGAAGGGGATTCAGGATCGGTTTGCTATGGAAGATGCTGCCACGAATGAGAGCCCTGAGGCAGTAAGCTAAAATATCAGACAAGTTCACAAATGTTGCATCCAGTTCCGGCGCAGGATATGAATTAGCCGTAGCTGCGTCACGCAGCTCATTACTATAGCGCGGCGTTGCAAGCGCACATTATTCATCTGCTACGAACGAGTTCGACGGAAATGTACACTGCTAGCAAAAACGGACAAGCAGCCCACAACAGCACACCTCTGAACCGTAAAAAAGAAGACGAAAAATTGTTTGGTGAGCGAATTATCAAGTTGCCAAAGGAAGTCAGGATACAATGGAGATTCGCTAGTGATCACCCACACAGACTACTGACCCGCCGGTATATTGCTTACGTATGGCCGAGCGGACGGGAAGTTCAGTTCTATGTATCAACACAAACGCCCCTAAAATTCCCAATTGTGGGGATCCGTATTTTGGGGAGATGGGAGATGGTGGCAAGGGTTCCAGCAACAGGGATATAGCCGCCTCTAACATGAGTCGTGGCGTAATCTTCACCTAGTGAGCGCTAAGGACTGACGATGTGAAAGCAGCCGTGTGACCCTTGATTATCACATCTGCTCAGGCCAGTTGAGGGTCGTGTGTACAGATACCTCCATCCAAGACCTTGCGTGTGGCAAACCCGATAATCATACCGGTCGATACCACAGGTAGCGTGTGGATGGGTCACCTAATGGCGAGATACTGTGGTATACCGCAAAAGTACTCCATGTGGGGGGCTTACGCAACCTCGGGTATTTGTCTGAAGCTATACGTATATTATCTAGAGCTATACTAGATATAGGTAATATAGTATTTTTCTAGAACTTTCTTCTTTTTCTTTTGCGATAGGTATAAATTAAATCTAACCCCCTCTCTAGATACAAATTATTAGGCTTGTATTAAGCTTGTATTTAACCTCGCTACGTAGCTTTGGAGATATCACCACGCAGCTTTCTAAACCTCTGTACACAGGGCCCACATGGAGTACTTTTGCGGTACACCATAGTATGTTGTTCTGCGAGGAACGCAGGATGATATTCCATGTAGTTTTTGCTTGATTCGGCATTGTAGGAGCCTTTGATTATTCTGTTTACTGTAACCAGTTGATGGGCTTTGGTCCTGCTGGAGTCGGTTGCTTTTTATGTCCAGTCTTCAAAAAACTTTTCCCCTAGAGTACAATAAGTGTAAATGCTAGCTAAAACAGCCAGAGGCACTGCCACGGAAAGGCAAAGCCGACCCTAACAGTACTAGAATTGCGAATGACCGATAATTGTAGGAACTGGTCTGAAGTAGATAGTATGGATCTAGATGGTCTATCTACAAGCTATTTTAGCCTACTCATATAGGCTGGTGAACGGTGTAGCTTGCTGTGCAAGATAGCAGGTTACTTGCCTAAAATAGGTTAAAGATAAGTAAAAAACTATACAATATTCAGTATTACAGCTAAATAACTAGTAGAAGTGCAAACTGACGTGCAAATGACCCTGTACTACGCGCTGGGCTATAATTAGGTCAAAAACACCATTGTATAGTCACCACGCCAGCAAGGAATCGGTGAATCATTTTAGCCTACAGTAGTACAATAGTGTTCTCACACACCCCTTATATTACGATCACCAGAGATGCTATTGGATCCAGCGTCACATGTTTCATTCTCTACTGAGATCTGGAGTCTTGCATGTGCGATTTTCGCTATTATGGGTCAACGACCCTTGTTTGAAAGTTGGTTCCAGACAACGACCAAATTCTCGCAGAACATGTCGACGCATTGGGACAATTACCTAGGGAGGGGTGGGCGAATTGGGCGGGCCGAGATCAGTATTTCCATGATCAACTTCAAGATAGAGTTGATGGATCGCCGCGTCGGCTTCTGGAACATCGATTAGAGGACTCAATACAAGAGGCACGGAGACAAGCTAAGATGTCAGAGATGGACGAGGAAGAGAAGGAAGCCTCCCTCAAACTCTTAAGGTCGATGTTATCATTTATGCCTGACAATCGACCTTCGGCGCAGCAGGTTCTTCAATCGAGTTGGATGCAGAAACGGGCTGGACCAGCGTCGACAGTCACCTCTTCGGAGATGAACAAGATAGCAACAGGACAATGCCAAATTTCTTACTCTAATAGAATGCCCTGTGCGGTTCTACACTCGATTCACGGCTTCGCGTGCGTGCATGTTGATCGACCACATCTTACGCTGAATCTTACTTCTGCTGGCAACTCAAATCGTTGACTATTATGTAGCAGTTTACGAGGCGGCGTGATCAACCTTTCTTAGTTACGCATCACGACCCGGCGTTTGTACATTGTGAAACATTCTGTGGCCCCTCATGTAACTTAATTTCCATAGCATATCATGGCAAAGAACAATGAGAGAGATTAGTTGGTACTGCTGATGAACGTTGGCTAGAGGAGACAACGCACCTTAGTCATGAAGCTGTATCCCGACGGGGTAGTTTACCCGAATCCTTCAGACATCAGAGAATGAGTGGGAGGCGCTAGGCTGTGGCCATTCGGATACGCTGTCGACCGACAACAAGCCGCAGCCCGCCAGCTCGACGCTGCAGCAAGCGAAGACGCTCTTTCCGGAAATGGCTGCAGCTGACACAAGCCTCACGATCATCAATCTCGTCATGAAGAAGAAAAGCAAGAAGTCGCAGAAGGGAATGACGAGCGCTCAGTTCGCGATGGGAAAATTAACCCGATTACAGAGCAAAAAGAGGAAGCGGCTGCTCAGAGCGTCTCGGAAAGACAAAGAAAAAAGGAGCCTTGAGTGTACGTGTCTATGGGCACGGACGAATCCTTCGGACATCAGCACTAACGGAATTTCGCGAACCGAACATCAACGAGGTAATACCGATACTTGTAGCGGTGTAAAAAAAGGCTATATTAAGGGGCCAATCGAAGCGGTTCGCGCTCTCAGCATACGTTTTCTGTCTTGGAGGGGGGTGACTACTATACGATGGAAAGTTGCTGGGGTGAGTGGCAAGATAATTTTGACGTAGGATGCAGTTTGCTTTTGAAGCGTCGGGTACTTTCAGGATAACAACTTGTTTGCAAGGTTGCGCTACAAGTCAGTTGCCTCGAACGCTTTAGAGGCGTAGCATGGGCGGAAAAGAAGAGTGGAGATGCTCGACCTCCACGACTCGAAACCTGTGGGGTTCAAGCTGAAAAGGGTAATTATGTTCTGATTAGGTATCCGTTGATAACTATTTCTTTATCTCAAGACCATGCGCAACACAACTACTGATCACGAGGTACAGGAATAATTTAACCCGGCTTGAACCCTTGCAAGTTCCCGTAAAATTCCAAAGAAGAGCGTACCAATTTGTAACATACCAATGGCTCGATCTCTCTGTGATATGACACAGAAGGAAATAGGGGTTTAATCCGACCTGACTATATTCTATTTGTTCGGTGGTAGCCTCTGCTCTCAGGGCCTCTTCCAATTCCTCTCGTCCATTTCATCTTGATATTCAAAGCCCATCAGCTTCTCCGCGTAAATGGAAAGAAATGTCTTCTACTACGCTCAGCTCTAGTTGTTCTTCACAACATGATTTGTCTCCACAAGTCCAGCACACAACAGGCCCCGGACGTTCGGACAAGAAGATATACAGTACAAGTAATATTCCCATATCTAATCACGCCAATGGAGTCACAGGGCGTCAGTTGCTTATACTAGCCCTCCATACTAGCACATTGTCCCTCGTCATGTGGAACAGCTTCATGATACTCGAACCAGGCGGTATCGACTCTTTTGAGGTCTTCCTCCTCGTCTGCATCTTCTTCGGCTCCATCTCACTTGTCGTCGATCTCTGGACTAGCATCATTGGCCTCTGTATCATGACGTTCGGGAACCTAGAGAGATCCATATTTCCCTACTTCGACGCCAAAAGTCCGCTTCCACAACTGCATTCAACGACCG